CAGGGGCTAATTGATTTCTAAGAAGCTTTGGTCTCACACACACAGTTTCTCACAGTCCTGAAGGCAGACAGACTGTCTAACACAACAAGGCCAGCAAGTCTTGGAACCGAGGGAGTATGTACCATACTGCCCATAACACAAGATAACTGGCACCAGCTAACAAAGCCTCAGAGCAGGGGGAGCTGAGTCCCGATTTTGGGGAACAGACCAAATTAGGAGAAGGTCCGGAAGGCTACATGGACATGTGGCCACAAAGAGACAACCAACCAGAGATAGCCATGGATGAAGAATAAGGAAAGGACAATACAAAATGGAGACTTGAGAATAACAAAGGGTCCCTCCCTGTCCCACCTGGGTCCCTCCCTTTGTCCTGTCCCTCCCCATCCTTCTTCCTTAGAGGGATCCCCGTCCCCACCCCCTGGGAAGGGTCCCCGAGGCCACCATGGACCGAGGGCATACAACCAGCCCACCTCATGCACCCCACTGGAGGTGGGGTGTGGACCTCAGCATCCCACCTCCAGACTGCTGGCATCTGACACCAAAGAGACAGCCTCAGAGTAAAGACTGCATTCTGGCTGGATGTACTTTGATGACAGCCCTAGGATTTGGTAGTTATATAGAATCGCTTGATTGTTTGCATTGTTTATTTTCTGTTATCACTGTGTATCAATACATTTGCCTGTTATCGAATGGAAAGGTCGTGGTCAGTCTGAGGTCCCCTTCCTCCTCCTCCTCCCAGAACAAGGCCTCTGGCTCTTAAATCCAGAGCCAACAGTAGGAATCAGTGGCTAAATGTCTAGTTGGTAGCTGGCATCAAGTGGAGTGCCCCAGGGGTTGGTCCTGGGGCCAGTTTTGTTCAATATCTTTATCAACAACCTGTAAGATGGGATGGAGAGCACCCCAGCAAGTTTGAAGATGACACGAGGCTGGGGGGAGTAGTAGATGTGCTGTAGGATAGGGCTAGGATTCAAGGATTCAGAGAGACTTTGACAAACTAGAGGACTGGATCAAAAGAAATCTCATGAGGTTCAATAAGGACAAGAGCAAAGTTCTGCGCTTAGAACAATCCCATGCCTCGATACAGTCTGGGGACTGACTGGCTAAGCAGCAGCTTCACAGAAAAGGACATGGCAGTTACAGTAGACAATGAGCTGAATATGAACCAAAAGTGTGCCCTTGTTGCAAAGGAGGCTAACAGCATACTGGGCGTCATTGGTAGGAGTATTGGCAGCAGATTGAGGGAAGTGATTCATTCCCTCTATTCAGCACTGGTGAGGCCACATCTGGAGTATTGTGTCCAGTTTTGGAGCCCCCACTACAGAAAGGATGTGGACAGACTGGACAACTTCCAACTGAGGGCAACAAAAATGGTTAGGGGACTGGGGCATATGACTTCTGAGGAGAGGCTGAAAGAACTGGGCTTATTTAGTGTGGAGAAAAGAAGACTGAGAGGGGATTTAATAGCAACCTTCAGTTATCTGAAGTGTGGTTCCAAAGAGGATGGAGCTAGACAGTTCTTAGCGGCAGCATATGAACACGGTGCAATGGTCTCACGTTGCAGCAAGGGAAGTTTGGGTTAGATATTAGGAAATGCTTTCTCACCAGGAGGATAGTAAAGCATTGGAACAGGCTGCAGAGAGGTTGTAGAATCTCTATCCTTGGAGGTTTTTAAGGGTAGACAAAGCCTTGGCTGGGATGATCTACTTGAGCAGGGGGTTGCACTAGATGACCTCCTGAGGTCCCTACCAACCCTAATTTTTATGATTCTATATGAGGATCTAGTGAACCACAAGCTGCTTCTGTGATGACTCTTTACATTTTTTTTTATTTATATATTCATATTACTGCAGATAACTTGTGTTTGGATGCTTCTTTCCATGTGTATCTGTAGCTACCTTGTGTGCGTGTGTGTGTGTGTGTGTGTGCGTGCGTGCTTGAGTGCAAAGACAACCCACAAATAATAGAGGATTTTTTTTGCTGAGCAAATAATGTTATATGTAAATGTATTGAATATTACATCAAGAATAAGCATAACTGACCAACAACTACTTGTATCTTATGGATGTCTATCTGCTGTTTGGTATTTGCAAATTGGGAAGGGCTTACTTTAAATCTTTGAGCTGACTTTTTAGGTGAGTCTGTGGCCATAAAGACCTTGATCCACAAATACTTGTGTGGTGTGAATAGGCTTCTATGCTTCAGAACAACTGCAAGCAATGCCTATAAGTGGGTACAAGAATGGTTAATCAATAGTCATTCACAGTGTTGAAGAGAAATAGC